CTGTGGGGCTTGAACTCAGGGCCTAGGCACTGTCCCACTATCCCTAAGCTTGTTTCCCCAAGGCTAACACTCTACCGCTTTGAGCCACAGCTCCATTTCTAGTTTTCAGGTGGCTAATTGGAGATAAGAGTTTCATGGAGTCCAGTGCCAGTGGCTCATGCCTGTAATCCTAGCTACTCAGGAGGCTGAGATCTGAGGATGGTGATTTGAAGCCATCTGGGGCAGGAAAGTCCGTGAGACTCTGACCTTCAATAAACTAATCAGAAAAAGCAGGAAGTGAAGCTGTGGCTCAAGTGGTAAAGCACTAGCCTTGAGCACAAAGAGGTTCAGGGCAGCACCCAGTTCCTGAGTTCAAGCCCTAGGATTGGAAAAAAAAAAAGTCTCATGAATTTTCCTGTCTGGGCTGGCTTCAGACCACAATCCTCAGAACTCAGCCTTCTAAGTAGATGGAATTACAGATGTGAGCCGCCAGCACCCAGCCTCCCGTATCTTTAACCCTTGTCTGTCATGTCTCAATAGGCCTCTTTGAAAATTGATGGGAAAACACCATTGCTGTGAGCCTACTGTTTGCAATGTGACCAAATAGGAGTTGTTGTTCAGGCAGAAGGGGAGAGGAGGCAGAGGGAGACTGGAACAAATAAGGCCCCGGTCTTGATGACTGAGGAGGGGATGTAATGGCTCAGATAGGCAGCTTGGATCTAGGAGGAGGCCTGGAGGATGCTTATTTCACTGAAGGAATGCAGGCCCAGAAGGACCTCCTCATCTGCCATCCTTATTCAGTTCCCGCTTCTTATGTTATTCACAGCCTAAGCAGATGCTCTTTTCTTTGTTATCCCAGTCCAACCAAGGGCTGCAACGCTCTTCCCAACTCCTAGCTGTGTGCATTACCTGGTATAGGCACTGAGCATACGCTTGTCCAGGACCTGCTTGCATGACTCAGTAGTAGACTGCTTCCTCCAGCCAAGTGCTTATCATCAACAGGCCTGGGACCATATTGTTACTATTTTTTATTTTGGCCAGTCCTGGGGCTTGAACTCAGAGCCTGGACACTGCCTCTGAGCTTTGTTTGCGCAAAGGTTGGTGTTCTACCACTTGATCTACAGTGTCACTTCTCGTCTTTTCTGTGTATGTGGTACTGAGGAATCCAACCCAGGGCTTCACACATGCTAGGCAAGCACTCTACTACAAAGTCACAATCCCAGCCTGTTACTATTCTTTTTTGAGACAAAGTTTCACTGTGGCACAGGCTAGCCTGGAACTCACACCTCCTCCTCTTTTTGTCTTTAAGCATAAATTACTTTATGATTATTATGTGATTACATCACCTTAAAATTTAATAAATTTGCCACAATAGCTTTACAGATAACACCTATTATCAAATAAAACATTATGTCGGGCAGGTGCCAGTGGCCCAAGCCTATAATCCTAGTTACCCAAAGCGCTGAGAGCTGAGGATCACAGTTCAAAGCCAGCTCAGGCAGGAAAGCCCATGAGACTCTTATCTCCAATTAATCACCAGAAAACTGGAAGTAGTGCTGTGGCTCAAGAGGTTGAGTGCTCACCTTGAGCTGAAGAGCGCCCAGACCCAGAATTCAAGCCCCACAATCGACCAAAATCAACCAATCAATCAATCAATTAAAAAATCATTTAAAGAATCCTCTTAACTACAGAGCTAGAATCAATTTTGTTTCTTCTACATGTTTACTCTTTCTTCCCTGCTTGCTTCTTGAATGCTGGGACGACAGCCACTTGGTAGGAATAGACTCATTTGCAAAGTAGGAAAGGTCGACTCATAATAGTGTCTGTGGAAGGGTGTTTCCTGGCTCTGACTATACAAATGTCTATACCCATTTGTGGAACATTTATGTAGGAAGGGGAAACAAAATGCAAAAGAAAGATACTCTCAGGGCAGCTGCATACTCTCAGGGTTCCCTGGTACCTACGGCATCCTATTTGGGATGATTAACTTCATTCCTCATCAGGAAGCTGAAACTCAAGGAGAAGAATGTTCTTGTCAACCCATAGGCTCATGTGCAGCCTTTCTGGAAATGAATGAAATGTAAGTTGTGAAGCCCTTTGCTTGGGCAGGCTTAATTTGTGCTGGTAAATTTGTAGATGCTTTGCATCATCAAGGTTGTATAAAGTTAGTCCTTGTATAATGTGGATCTGCCTCCATCTGTCTCTGTAATTAGAAATCACAGCACTTCACAGGCCAATGTTGCATAGATTTTATTTTTACTAACTCAGGCTAGGAAAAGGCACAAAGTTTAAAATCCTAAGGGAAAAGAGTGCGGATGGATGAAGGAGAAGCAGAATTTGTCTACAATAGGAGGCAGGATTTTTTGTGTGAAACTCTCCCACCTCCAACCTTTCTGTCAGCTTCATTTTGAAGGCAATGAATGTCCAGTTGAATTTAGTTTTCTGTTTCCCTTCTTGCCATAGTGAGATGGAGGAGGCAGATCATAGGCTTAGGCTGTATGTCCATCAGTGTTCCATTACTGTAAGAAAATACCCAAGGTATTCAACTTAAATGCAGGCAAAGTTTATTTTGTCTTATGTTTTTTTTTTTTTTTAATTTTTTTGGTTAAAGGACTTCAGTCAGTCCATGATTGATTGACCTGATTGCTTCTAGGCCTGTGGTGAAACTGAGCATCATGTGTAGGAGCCTGTGGTAGAGGAAGCTGCTCACCTCATGGTGGCCAAGAAGCAAAGAGGGAGAGAGAGAGAGAATGAGCTGTGGTTTCAATACCCACTTTAAGGGCATGTCCCCAGTCACCTAACTTCTACCCTCTAAGCTCTACTTTCTAAAGGCTTCACTATCTCCCAAAAGTGCCTCAGGCTGGTGAGCAAGTCTTTAACCAACAGGCCTTTAGGAAATACACTGGATACCCAGGTGCAGAGGTTTGGAAGGGGCTCCAGCTGTGTGAGGTGTAAGAAATGTGTAACACATGTGCACTATACACAGCAGTGGACACATGAATTGTCCCTCTGAAGAGGACCACTCAAGGACACTTTGCGCCTGCCAAAGCCAGGAACTGACCAGGACTGGGAAATTGTTACACCAGCCATGGAATGAAGAGATTAGACATTACTTCGTGTTCAAGGCACAGCGGGCCACAGGTTCCAATTGTTTTCCAGAGTGACAAGGGGCGAAGCTGGAATTGTTTGGGAACAATTTTGCTCCCATTCATCCCTCCTTCTGCCTCTTTCCCTGTCACTTGTGTATGTGTCATTAGAGTGGCCAGCCTGCGGGCCCATTTACAAGGGGAGGAAGTTCCTCCTCCCATTGCCTTTGTGATGGCTTTGAGTGGACACTCTATTCTTTGGTGCTTCCTGCCTTGAAAGTGCTGACCAGGGTCACTTGCAGGGCTGTTAAACAGCTGCTGTGCCTCACCCTGGCAGCAAACACAGCCATTCCAGGCCCATCAATCAGCCTGGTTGGACAAATGTTTTGAGACCTGTCTGAGTGAAAGATGGGACATGAGCGTGGGCTTAGACCAGACTCTCTCAATCTCCAGACTAAACTTATCCAGAGGCCCTTGGGCCCTAACGCAGGGAGTCACAAGACTTGTGCAAAATACCTCAGATGCCCTGTGCTGTCATCAAGGAAGTGACTATTATTTTCCCTTTCTTTCTCATTCATTCTTTAAATACTAATTGGTTGCCTGCTTGAGACTGAACACAAGCCTTCACAGTTTTCTTTCAATAGGTAACATTTGGTATTGATGGATGTCAAAAAGACTGCTCAGTGCTAAAGAAAAGAAGGGACTTAACATTTGTGTGTGTGTTTTTATTCTTCGGGTGTGCTCAAAATGTAGTTCAAGGTTTCGCTTTTTATTTTATTGTTATTATAAAGGTGATGTACAGAGAGTTACAGTTATATAAGTCAGGTAATGAGTATAGTAGCTTTATTTTCTGATAGATGATAGGAATCATATGACCATACAAACCAAATTGCTCCAATAAATAAAATTAATAAACAAAATCAAGAGAGTCACACCTGATTTTTTGTTTCATAGATAAAGTCAGGGCAGGTTTCATTTAGTTATTATTATTATTTTTTCCTCCAGTAACAGGGATTGAACTCAGTAGTTTGTGTGTGTGTATGTGTGTGTGTGTTTCTCATATAGCTAGTGCTTTAATGCTTGAGCTGCACTTCCACTTCTGGTTCTTTGTTGGAGATGGGATTTCTTGGACTTTACTGCCCTTTCTGCCTGGGCTGGCTTGGGACCTCAAAGGTTCCATGTGTGAGCCACTGGTGCCTGGCTAGTTACTTATTCTTAAGAAAGCAACATTGAGAATGGAAACCAATTGTCTCTTAGAGCTCCATTAGCCCCTGGCTGCTATGAGTCTAAGAAACAAGTGCACTGGGAAGAAACCCTCCAGCCCCTGTCCCTCTGGTGTCTGCTGTATTTGTGGCCTCTGTTTGGAGGAAGAGGTGGGAGGGGACAGGTGGAGATTGCCACAGGTTGCCAGTAATCTCTGAGGTAACTTCTAAGAACTGAAATGTCTAAGTGCTGAAATGTCTAAATTCTAGCCACAGGACAACCTGTGATCTTTAGTTCTTTTTTTCTTTTACTTATTTTTTATTTTTAATATATATTTTTAATTGTAAAGATACTATACAGAGGAGTTACAGTTACATGAGTAAGGTAATGAGTACATTTCCTATTGAGCATTGTTACCCCCTCCTTTGTTTTTCCCCTACCATCCCTTCCCTCCCCACCTCTCCAGCTTCTCCCCCCTCTCTAAGCTGAAAAAGTTCATTTTCAAAAAAATATGGAATGCTGGTCTAGGAAGGTGGCTCAGTGGTAGAGCGCTTGCCTTGCATGCATGAGGCCCTGGGTTCGATCTCTCAGCAACACATAAGCAGAAAAAGCTAGAAGTGGCGCTGTGGCTCAAGTGGTAGCCTTGAGCCAAAGAGCTTAAAGGACAGCACCCAGGCCCAGAGTTTAGGCCCCACGACCAACAACAGCAAAAAATAAAAATAAAAAATAAATATTTATATGGAACGCTTCATGAATTTGCATGTCATCCTTGTGCAGGGGCCATGCTAATCTTCTCTGTATGCTTCTAATTTTAGTATACGTACTACTGAAGAGAGCATGATGTTTAGTTCTTAAAGAGGATGGAAGTGATGGATGAATGCTTTCTTCCTAAGTTTTTCAAATGTCTCTAGAGGCCATTCCATACTCATAGTCTTGTGTTCTCTCCATCAGAGGAAATGAAAATACAATTACTATCATGTGTTGTTGTGAAGGACATTACTTGACCTAAAAGAAATCCTGCTCTTGGTTGAAAAGTGTACTGCTCTTTGGGTGTGTGTGTGTAGGTGTGTGTTTATGTGTATCTGTGCTGGTACTGGGCCTTGAACTTAGTGTTTTTTGCACTCTACTACTACATCCATGCCTTCACTTCCAGCTTTTTGCTGGTTAATCAGGATATAAGAGTCAAGGTTGTGTCTGCCTGAGCTGGCTTCAAACCTTGACTCCCAGATCTTAGCTCCCTGAGTAGCTGAGATTGGAGTAGTAAGTCACTAGTGCCTGGCTAACTTGATTGATCTTTAAGAAATGAAATATGAACATACATTCTGGTTCTTTTTTTCCCTCTCTCAGATTCTGGGAGATCAAATAAAAGCCCCCGAAGCTGGCTGGGCTGTAAAATAGGGCTTCCATGTTTACTTCATTGCTTTTCATCAGCCTTCCCAGTCCTGATTGCCACCCAGCATTACCTACACAATTACATCTCCTTTGGCTGGAGTCAATAAGGCTGGATTTTGAAGGAGAAAGACAGACAAGGGAAGCTTCCAGAAAGAAGTTCCTGGAGTGGAGAAGGTTTTTCAGATTGCTCGGCATACTTGTGCCGTTTGCCTTTTGGCTTAGCTGCCTTCGGTTCATTGGTCGTTCAAATATTTTCCTTCTTTCCCTTTGGTAAGATGGATTTGTGGACATCTAAACATGGGCCCTTGCCTACCTGGGCTGCTTTGCTCCTTTCCTAGGAACATAAAGGACTTGTTTGAAGCGCCTGCCCTGGCACGGATGCCAGGCAAACAGATGCAAGGGCACCTCCGTATGTACAGTCTGGGCTAAGTAGCCCTTTCATTGGGGTAGTCAACACCTTTTGTTGCTGCCAGACTGGTCAGGATTGACTCAATATTAGCGGTACTTTGAGGTGGGTTGGAGAAGGATGAATGTGCCCAGAGTAGCTTCTAGAAGGGACAAGCTGAACACTGCTTCCTTTGGTTCTTCCCTTCAGGGGATCTGCTAAGGACAACAAAAGCTTTTAGTCTCAGTTTTGGCGATAACTGGAGTATATAACCAGAGACAGCCAAAAACCCTTTAGGAAGTTCCCACTTAACACATTTGCTTCTATGATTCTTCACATTTTTACATCCTCTCCTTGATTTTCGATTTCCTTTCTATGAAATTTTCATAAGTTGAAAGAAGAGGAATCTTAAATCACGCATAATTATATTTACTCAGACTCTACTTAAAGTATGAACTCATTGGAACCGAGAGAGGGCTGCTGTACTAGGAAAGTACAAATTTAATAGAATGTTCCAGAATGGGCTATGGCAGAAACCCATTGGGTCTAGGGTGTGTTTTTGAATTATAAACATGCACACTGGTGAGCTGGTTAGTGAATGGTCAGATTAAGAGCAACATGGCTAGGAACTATTGCAAGAAGTTAAGCTGATTTGTAGGGATCCAAACTGTACAGTTGGTGTCTCCCTCCCTTTCTCTTTTTCCTTCCTTCCTTCCTTCCTTCCCTCCTTCCTTCCTTCCTTCCTTCCTTCCTTCCTTCCTTCCCTCCTTCCTTCCTTCCTTCCTTCCTTCCTTCCTTCCTTCCTTCCTTCCTTCCTTCCTTCCTTCCTTCCTTCCTTCCTTCCTTCCTTCCTTCCTTCTCCCTCCCTCTCCCTCCTTCCCTTTCTGGTACTGGGACTTGAACTTAGGGCCTGAGTGCTGCCCTTCAGCTTTTTTGCTCAAGGCTAGTGCTCTACCACTTGAGCCAAAGCTCTACTCCCAGCTTTTTGATGGTAGGAGATAAGAGTCTCATGGAGTTTGCTGCCTGGACTGGCTTCAAACTGTGATCCTTAGAGTTCAGCTTCCTGAGTAGCTAGGATACAGGAGTGAGCCATCAATGCCTAGCTTCTCTTTGTTTTTAAGAGGAGGTCTTACTATGTAGCCAAGGGTAGTCTGGAATTTCCTATGTTGTCCAGGCTGACCTTGAGTTCACCATTCTTGCTGGCATTACAGGCGTGCATTCCCATACCCAGCTTCTATATTCAACTTTTGGGGGCAGCAGTATGTTTTTTTTTTTTCCTCATAGCAGCTGAGCCATTTATGCATTGTTGTCCCACTAAGACATAAGCGTTCCAGTTTCTCTCCATTCTAATAGTTTTTTTTTTTCCCCAGGGCTGAGGACTGAACCCAGGGCCTTGCGCGCCGGGCGGGCACCCTTTGTCTGGGCTAAACCCCCAGCCCCTCTAATTGTTATTCTCTTTCGTGTGTATGTTTTTGTTTGTGATAGTAGAAACATTCTAATGGGTATGAGGTGATATTTCACTGTACTTTTGTTTTGTATTTTCCTAATCAGTGTTCATGTTCAATTTCTATTCATATGCTAACATGGATATAAAAAGGTGGATGTTTCTATGTCTTCTTTAGAGAAAAGTCTACTCAAGTCCTTTGCCCATTTTTTTTTTTCAATTAGGGTAGTTTTTGTTTTTTTTTTTGTATGTGTTTAGTTCTGTTTTGTTTTTGTTGTTGTTGAGTTTTAGTTCTCTGTATATTTTGGAAATAAATCAGTCCTTCATCTTATAGTTGTTTTCAAAATGTTTTGTTCCTTACTGTGAGTTACCTTTTTACTCTCTTAATTATGTCCTTCCATGGAAAAACGTTCCTAATTTTCATAAAGTTCATATTGTTGATTTTTCTTTTATTGTCTGTGCCTTTCACGTCATATCCAAGGAATCAATGCCAAATTCAATACAGGAAGGTTTTCTTCTAAGAATATTACAGTTTTAGGTCTTATATGTAGGTCTTCAAGCCATTTTGAGTTAGTTTTTATATATGGCATAAGTTATGGATCTAATTTCATTCTTTTTTTTCAATTGTCTATGATAATTTGTTATCATTATTTTAAATTTTATTGTACAGGTGATATACAGAGGAGTTATAGTTACGTAAGTAAGGTAATGAGTATATTTCTTTTTGCACAGTGTTACCCCTTCTTTCATTTTCTCCTGCTTTCCCCCACCTGATTCCTCTATCCCTGAAAGTTGTAAAGTTCATTTCCAATACAGTGTCTAGTGAGTAACACTGTTGCTAACTGTATTCTCTTTTTGTTTTGGAGGTGGTAATGCTGTAGGACTAGGGTTTGAACTATGGCCTTGTACTTTCTAGGCAGGCATTCTACTACTTAAACCATACCTGCAACTTCATGCTTTATGGAAAAAAGCGTATAGTTAGTTATTTCAACACTCATTTTTGTCTTTTCCTAGTGAATGTTCTTGGCACCTTACTGAAAATCATTTAACCATATATACAAAGGCTTATTTCTGGGTTTTTGGTTTAACATTGCTAGCATGTCTTTAAGCTAGTATCACACTATTTTGGTTATAATGGCATTGTAATAAATTGTGAAATCAAAAAGTGTGAAATCAAAAAGCTTTGTTTTTCTTCACCCCAATTGTTTTTTGTTATTCATGGTCTCTTGAGATTCCATGTGAGTTTTAGGATGGATTTTTCTGTTTTTGTAAGAAATAGCACTATGATTTTAATAGGCATTATGTTAATCCTCTAGATCACTTATCACAGTTATCAACAGTAATATGGAAATTTTAACAATATTAAGTCTTACAGTTTAATAAGATTTAATATTGTTAAATATTTTTAAATATTTGATAAGATTTAATTTTAATATTTAATAAGACCCACACAGATGTTTTCCCACTTATTTATGTCTTCTTTAGTTTCTTTCAGCAACATTTTGTTGTTTGGTACATCATTTGACTCCTCAGTTAAGATTTTACTTATTGTTTGATTCTTCATGATGCTGTAAAGGAGTTGTAATTGTTATTGATCTCTTTGGTTGTTGCCTTGATCAAGGCAGACAATTTGTTTTTCTTCTATGATTCTGTCTTTCCATGCCATTATTCCTTTCCCAAAGGCAGATGAATACTGTTTAGGTGGATGGTGCTAGCCCCCCAGAGGGTCATCTCTGCCCTGGGAAAGGAAGTTACAGAAAGAGGAAATTGGGGCTAGTCTCAAGTTGGTCTGATGTTGTTCAAGGTCTCTGAGCTTTACTGACTCTTATTATGTAATATGCTTTATTCACAGCACCAGCACAAACAACTTTCTTTCAACTATTGCATCAAGCAAAGTGATGAGAAATGTAGCAGCTGTTGGGAGATTATTCAATTTTTAAAGCCTGACTGAAGCAAAAATTCTAAGGTTAAACAGTGCATTCATAGCTGCATTTTCTCCTTGCCCTGGTCTGCACTGAGATGTTTTGTTTTATTTTGTTTTGTTGGCCAGTCCTGGGGCTTGAACTCAGGGCCTGGGAACTGTCCCTGACCTTCTTTTGCTCAAGGCTAGCACTTTACCACTTGAGCCACAGTGCCACGTCCAGCTTTTTCTGTGTATGTGGTACTAAGGAATTGAACCCAGGGCATAATGCATGCTAGGCAAGCACTCTACTGTTAAGCCACATTCCTAGCCCCTGCACTGAGCTTTTTAAAAAAAAAAAATCTTCTTTTATCCTGTTTACCTGTTACCTGCCTATCTTTCTGCCCCATTCCCTTTCCCCAAATTTCTTTTCCTCTGTCTCCTTAACAAAATGTGTCTCTCCTATTTCATTCGCTTTGATGGGTAAAAATAAACTCTTGCAAAGCGAGACTAGGTGCTATCTTAATCCAAATAGGATGACATGAATCCAGCTAATCCTGGCTGCTTTAGGAATTCAGAGGCTAGAAGGGCAAATTGTGGGGGATTTGCTTAAGTTTGAACCTCACTGACAGTGGACAGAAGCAAGTGTTTGGACAAAGCCAGGGGCAGATGATACAGCAGCAGCCAAGTGATACGCTGGCCCACAAAGCAAAGCA